AATATAATTTTATAAGAATGATATTTTGGGGGGAAAAGCTTATGGAACTAAATATAAATTACCTACTGTGAAAAGAATTAGGATGACATAATGTTTCATCAATTTTCACTGAGCTATAAAGTGAATGTTATTACATAGTTTTAGTTATTTTTGTTAGAATTTGTAGCATTGATTCCATGTGATCATTATTTCATAATGACTTACTTACTTATTTACTTATGGCTGTCAAACAGGGTGGATTTCCATGATGACACCCAGGATGATCGCACAGTTTCATAACGTCAAAAGTACAGGATGACTCACAATCTGATTATACCACAAGGGGGCGCCAATTACTCACTGCCGCCTATTATTTGACAATTTAAAAAGTTTTACCAGAATTGGCGTTAAATACCAAGATTCGGGAGTAGATTCTGGGGAAAGTGGTCAGCCTCCCTCTGTTCACTCCTGACCATTTCTATCGTTTACCTCTTTTCACTTTAATATGACTGATGTGCTGGGTCACATGCAATCAACATGCCAAGTAATCTTTTTGGGGAATTAATTAGCTTATTTGTCTAATCTTCATTAAATCATGTTCAGTGTTCTGCATTCATTTAACCTCATTTGTACGCAACATTCACAGTTTAAGGCAGATCAATCAAATACATAAGCCTAAATAGTAAAAATATAATAAAATAAGCAACTCACCTACGCATGCAGGGCTCTCTCTGCAGTGAAAATAAACTGTCCATCAGTTTAATGTCTCCTGAGCGCATAAGTGTGTTGAAGCGCGTACACGTTCACCGGTGTGTGGATCTAGGGAACACCTGGGGCATGTCCAAACAGGCCTGCTGTCCGCATAACGCCGGGCGAGATACTGTATGTGCCCCCGTGGAGGTGTGTTTCCCCTAACCTAACCTGAGCGCTAAACTTATCCTGACCATAACCACCCAGGGGGGGAAACATCTCGAGGGGGGAGCAGATCAGCTCGTTTGAGATGTACTGCATATCGCCTGGAGCAGGGGGCGGTGACAAAAAGCTGCAGCCGGGACAGACGGTTTAGGAGCTTTCAGCCAGCTCAACAAATCTGTTTTTATCATCAGGAGAATATTTCCCTCCCAGACTGGCATAGAGAGATTAAAACACACTTTTATTTCCAGCAGACTGGACTATTGTAATGCTCTTATCTGTGGTCTACCCAAAAAAAATTATAAATCTGTTGCAATTGGTTCAAAATTCTGCTTTCCAAGTGCTGACCAGGGAGGACCAGGAAGAGAACACATTACACCTGTTTTAAAGTGCTTGCCTGCCAGCTTTCCTAATTATTTAAAAAATTCTTTTAAATGGTTTTAAAAGAACTTCGTGGTCTTGCACCAGCCTGACATGCTTACAGTCTATAAACAAGGATGGTCTCTCAGGTGTTCTAGCATGAGTCTTTTAGTTGTTTCAAAGTGCAGGACAAAGACTTGGTGAAGCAGTTTTTACTGTAGTTTTTAGCATGTAGATGGAAAAAAGGAAGTCACTACTGAAAATCTGAACTTGTTTAATAAACAGAGATGTAATCAAAGCTTTAACCTGGAATAGATAAATCAAGCTTTAGTCTTTTCAAATGGTCAAACCACTTGAAAACTACCAGTTCCAACCTGAAGCCAAGAAAACAACAACCCCCTGATGGTCTGTGAAGGGACGGCATCGAGGGGACGGCAGTGAAATACATACACAAAGAAGGCCCTAATGTCGCAACAGTGCAGGAACGCTAAGTGAGTGTGACAGTGCCTACTCTAAGGGTCAGAGGTCGTGGTGTGGGACAGATCCAGTGCACTGAACATGCCTTGCTTCAGCTATCATGCAGAGCTGTCTACATGGTGCCATTGTGGTGTCTGGGAGCAGAGGGAGGTGGGTTGGTCCCTGAGTGTCGGGTCCCCTGTGGAAAAGGTGTCTGCTGGGGGCCCTCAGCCTGCGTTACCGTTCCTCTGCCACTTTCCCATTGACCTCCTGCTCATCTTCATCTCTCCGCTTCTGTCTCCTGAAGAAGCCAAGCTGGGTGGGAGAGCAGTCAAACACAGAGAGAAATTACACATGATGAAATGTTGCAGCTTCAGAGGCCAACATGGCACTATTCAATCTTTATTTATTTATTCATTCCTTCATATCCTTCAAATCTACTCTTAAGCTAAAATGAACAAGACTAATAGCTGCTCTGTGAGGCTGTATGTATACTGAATACATCCTGTTTGGACAATAGATCTATGGACCAAATTTCTTTAACGCCTAAACAAATAGTCAGAAAATACCTACTGAATATTTGCTGCTGTTGGTCTTCTGTAAAAATTCATTTAATGTCTTTGTGCTTCAGACTGTTGACTGATCAAAATGATTTCTGAAGATGTCACAATGGACTCTGGGAAAATGTTCCACTATTTTCAGATGTTTTAGACTTTTTCATTCATGATATGATTAAGTGAATAATCAAAACAATAATGAAAATAATAGTTACTTGCAGCCCTGCATTGCATGGAGGTCCATCTAATGGCTGCTGAAACATGTCCAGCTCATGGTGGCACCAGAGGAAACAGCAACAATTTATCAGGCAGTTTATGACTGAGGTGAAACTATTACTTGTGTATGTTTTCTCTCTACTTCCCCCTTTTTACATTCTATTCATTTGGCAGATACTTTAGTTTAACGTGACTTACGCTTATCCTCAAGGGCACTTTGACAGGTGGACACGACGGAGGATCAAATCACCAGTGTTGTGGTTAAAGGCTGACCTGCTCTATTGCCTGAGCTACAGCCAACAAACTGACTATACTTTGATTATTTTACTCCTCCTAGCCAATGTTCCAGTAGATATTCTGACATGTCAAAGCAGGAAAAGCACAGGCTGTGATTTTAAAATATATATATTTACACAGTGTGATAGGAGGCCGACAGCTTTATTGTGAACCTGAGCAGTTCTATCCCAGAGCTTGGCCCCAAAGAAAAGCATGACAACTGATGATCGCTTAGAGTTACTGTGTTTCTGTGAACGGCTCCTGTGTTGACCATGAATGTGAGGCTGCTTATATTCTTCACATCATTTTTTAGACTTAGCTGTTTAAAGCCCTATGATAGACTGCCATCCTGTCCGGGGTGTACCCCTCCTCCCACCCAGAGTCAGCTGGGATAGGCTAGCTAATGGATGGATGGATGGATGTTTGCATTGCTTCATCCTCTACCAGGAGGTGGCAGTCTCACCCTACACTGAAGTACTGCTATGGCTATATAGTGGTACTGTACTATGCAGTAGGTGCAACCTTATGGGTCTTGGCCATTTTTTCTTATTACAGCTGCCTCTGATCTGTTACTACATATACATCTGTAAAAAGCTAATTATTATGACGACACAAGGTAACGTGTTTGGTAAGAGAACAAAACTGCTACTGGTGGCTGTAGCTAAACCCAGCATGAATAATACCGGTGCACGACACTGTGACTTACCTTCCACAGAGCGAGACTGAGCAGGGCCAACAACAAGAGCCCTCCCAACATACTCCCAATGATAATCCACGTAGGGATTCTGTAATCGCCCCCCTTCCTGATCTCCAGTGTTATCTGTCAGACAAGATGAGATGACACAAACAGATCTCAGTGTCTGCTATAGGGTTATAAACAGATTTGTATATCTTGTACAAACATGCTGCACATATAAATTGAGTGTATTAATGTAAATGTATGATGGTCAGTAATTATTATAAACATCAAACATCTATCCACAGATGATGTTGGATTATATATAACCAGCAGATGGACACACACAGGCTGAGTATGATATTTACAAAGAAAACTTACTGTAAATATAAGAAACATATATAGAATAAACCCATGACTGTTTTTAAGAAATTCTGAAACAGGATTGAAAACCTTTATGTAGATTATTCTCTCTCTCTTAACATGAATCTAAGCACTGATCACAGTCAGGTTTACCAGAAAAAGCATATAGGCTAACTGTAATAGCCTAACAAAACCCTATTAAATTAGTGGACCCTACTCTTTAACAATCCCATAAGTCCCTTTTTAGTTAATAGCACTCCAAATTTGTAGCCACTAATAAACATGAAGGTTTATTATGTATTAAGCCTCCTATGTCTCCAGCAGATAAGTTTTCAAAGCTTTAATGTGAAAGGCTTTTCTAACCTGCAGACTCGGGTCTTTAATGCACATGTGATTTAGTGTTTTATTTCTGTTACTACAAAAGAACAATGGATAATTTTCCACATTTTAAATGCAGTAGAACTGAATAAACTTAAGGTGAGTTTATCTTGAATTACAACTCTGATGTGCCTCAGGCTGGAGGAGTTCAAGCTGACTCGCAACTCGTGACCCCCTCCCAATTTTTTTTGCTTTATTCCCTCTATAAGCTCACCCCTTGCAGCTCACAGTGGCAGTGTGGTGTTAGATGCAGTGCTTCCAAGCAGCTCCAGCCCACATTTCATTTCTGTAAATTTCAAAAAGACACATGGCTCAGTAGAGTAATCGCTAGGTTCACCTTATTTACTCAAATGACAATGAATGAAGTTGAAGCTCTGCAGAAGAAGAAGAGAAAACATTTTATACCTTACTTTTTGGGATTTGTAATATTTTTGTTTTGCATGGTCCATCTTGTGTCATTTACAGCAAAGACAGCTCAGGAATCCCACTCTGTCAGGGTGCGTCGGGATCTAGGTAAGAAAATCTTATGTGGAAATCATACTGTGTGATTTTGCTTACTTTATAGTGTGTCTACATTGCTGAAGCATGCAGGCCTGGGGAAGCTTAAAGGAAATCATATTCACAACACTGAGCGACAGATTCGCCGATTTTTGCAACACTTATTGCTGTGAACATCCTATTTAAAGCCTTAACATCCAGTTTCATATTTACAAAATATTCTATAAAAACACAAAAAGAGCAATTTCTCTCTTTTTCTCCCAAACTGGTCCACATCTGACAAGGCCTAGATCAAAACCCATATGCCTGCTCTTCATGTTATTTGTATATAACAAATAAAGCCTCTATAGGCCATATAATTTTCTAATCCCTTAAACAAAGAGCTGCACTGTATACCATTTGCTGGACTATCTATTGTCTCATAGTTGCAGTTTTAGTCTTACATGTGGGGAAAACAACCTGTGAAATGTTAATGTTGTAATAACATTCCGTTTATTTTTCCCTTGAGCTGAAGCTAACTTTGTTGTCCATTAAATCACTCAGAGTATTCCAAGAGAGGTTTGTTTTATTAATCAAATCTGTCAAATATGAATCAAAATAGCCAATGTGTCATTATAAATGTGACTGCCTTGTGTTTTACAGAGTGGGAGTAATCAATTTCTGGCTCAGCAACTGTGACAGTGTTTGCTTTTTGCTACTGGTTCTCATTTTGGCATGAAACACAGTGTAATTACCATTAAGAGTTCAAACTATCTCAGTGCAGAGCTCCAGGGTGGCAGGTTATGACAGCTATGACCACTTAGCAGTGTGTGCATGTGTGTGTGTGTGGTACTACTCACACTGTGGGGACCAAAACCTGTTTACACACACTCACACTGTGAGGAGTAAGTGGGGTGGGGACCAGATGCTGGTCTCCACCTTGTAAATCGTTTAACTTTAGGGTAACGATTTACTTTAAGGCTAGGTGAAGGGTTAGGGTTAGGCAAGCAGTGGTTACAGTTAAGGTCAGGATAAGTCTTGAACGCTGAAAACAAACATGTATGTGTTTGTCTGTCCTCCCTCTTCAGAGAATGAGACAGAGTGCATCTCACCACAGTCCTCTGAGTTTCCTGAAGGATTCTTCACAGTGCAGGAGAGGAAGGATGGAGGGCTCATCATTTATTTTATGATTATTTTCTACATGCTTTTGGCTGTCGCAGTTGTCTGCGATGATTACTTTCTGCCATCCTTAGAAGTGATCAGTGAACGTAAGTGACATGAAATATCTGCAGGTCCACAATATCTGTGTGGTGATTCGGGTCATGAAGGTCAAATTATATTTACAAAAAAAGTATGAAAGAGAGAAAAGCAACATATATTTGGAAAGTGGAATAAGCAAATCTTCAGCCTCTTTGCTTTTTACAAAAATTAATGTATTATCAAAATTGTTGAACAATTTTCTGACAGTTGACTGATTTATCCATTAAATAATTGTAAACTAATATAGTCCCATACAGACATGGCGATATTGTAGTTTATGGTACTGTGTAGTGTATGTCATCAGGTTGTTCTGTTACTTTGTGGTGCTTCTTATGTCTCTCACAGGTCTGGGACTGTCTCAGGATGTAGCCGGAGCCACGTTTATGGCAGCTGGGAGTTCTGCACCGGAACTGGTCACAGCCTTTCTGGGTAATCATGCATTAGTATAACAAAGAAAGGACAATGTTAATGATACCAGCATCTTCATCACTGCCACTGTGTCCCTTCCCAGCCTGATGAGCAGTGACTTCACCACCATATGGCAACAGAAAGCCTGTGGCCTATGATTAGGACTTTTTTTTTCCTCTCAGGACCTTATTAGCTCTCCTGACATGTACTCTTACTTTTCACCAGTGCTTCCACAATATTTCTGTGGTCAATGTGTTGTTTATGTGTGTTAGGTGTGTTTGTGACAAAGGGAAACATTGGGGTCAGCACGATAGTGGGATCAGCAGTCTACAACCTGCTGGGGATCTGTGCTGCATGTGGACTCTTGGCCTCTATGGTACGTTGCCACAATATTCAGACAAAGATTGCCCAGCTACTAACAACAGCAACAAATATATTGTGTTGAATAAGATGTCAAACTTCTTTTCTTTTATCAGGCAGGGCATCTCACCTGTTGGCCACTGTTCAGGGACTGCCTGGTATATGGCATCAGTGTTGCTGCTGTAATTGGAATAATTTCTGATAACAAGGTGTACTGGTGAGTGTATTTTTGTGCACTGACATAACACTGGCAAACGCTTACATGATCTTCAAGACCTTATACCACCTACATGATAGAAGGTTGTAAAAGCCAATGTCAAATACACCCGTTTATTGTTTTGTGACACTGAGAGGAACAAATGAAAAACAACTATGCAGTGCAGCACTGGGACTCACTGATAATAACTGCACTGAGAGCACAGGGCAATAAATGGCCATTAACTTATAAAAATATCCTATCATAAACTCAGTAGTTGCAGTGGCATTCGTTGTTTATGAAAGATTTCCAAGTGTACTGGAATGGCTTAATGTTGGTCATAAAATAGTGCCAAGTGTCAAAGAGCACAGCTTTGATCATGAAAGGCCAAGAGCGATAAAAGCCGAAGAACATTTGTTTCCAAATTATCTCCTGAATCTAGTGACATAGAAGCCTTTTTGAGGTAATGTATATTCTGTATGTTTTCTGTGGCAAATCTAAAAGCAAGGTCCACCTGTTTACATTTGCTCAAATGGTACCTGAGTAAGTTCCATTTTCTGAAGTAGGCCAATGGATTTTGGCTGAATGATCTAGGAATCTCTTAGTAATTTGACTAGAATATTCTCCACTTACTTCTGTCCTCAAATTCATAAATGAATCTTAATGCTCACACTGTACGTTTTGTTTACAGGTATGACGCTGCCTGTCTGCTGCTTGTCTATGGCATCTACATTGTGATTCTGTGTTTTGACCTTCGCATCAGTGAGTTTGTCCTGAGGAAGCTGAGCCCTTGCTGCACCTGTCTGGGTAAAGGATCTGATGAGAAGACTGAGACACAGCCTCTGATGGGCTGGACCGATGATGCCAGTCTGCGAGTCCACTGTCGCTCCAGAACAGACAGTGGAATCTTCCGGGATGACTCAGGATACTCTCACCTGTCTCTCAGCCTGCACGGCCTCAGTGACATTCCTGAAGGTTAAAAAAACCCTCTGATTAGTGATACAAGTGCACTGATTTCCTGTATTTTAAAACACGACATGTTCGTGACCCCAGACGGTGTGATACAAATCAACATGTTTATTGGTTTGTTTTCCAGCAGAGCACAAAAGTGTGTTTGCTGTGCCAGAGAGTGACATGAAACGAATCCTCTGGGTTCTGTCTCTGCCCATCATCACTCTGCTTTTCTTGAGCATCCCTGACTGCAGGAGAAGGTTCTGGAAGCCGTGGTTCATGGTAACCTTCATCATGTCTGCTGTTTGGATATCAGGGTTCACATACATACTGGTGTGGATGGTCACTGTTGTAGGTAAGATCGTTTTAACTTTGCATTCTATAATGATCTTGTGGAAATGTGACTTTTTTTCTGTGTTTTTTAGTTTAGTTGCAGGTGTAAATCAACCCATCACACACCAGGTTATAGTGCCTTTGTAGATCACCAGTGTTTGAAACTTACAAGAAGAATGTCTGGCTTGCAGAGCAGAATCACATGTTTGTCTGCTGGATAATTCCTGAGATGCCATTGTCCTGGAGGGTTAAGAGGGGGGTTATTGTAACTCCAGTGGGCCATGTGCCTACCCAGCAGGATTACAGCCTGCTCCACCCCTAAGGAAGAGTCATGTGAGCCCTGGGTGTACACAGAACTACCCATGGGCACAGATTCTGAAACAGCTTTACCCCACATCTGCGCCAGAAATGTATACTATCAAACTGTCTTTGGATCAGGCAAAAAAGACAACTTCATCATGTGACGATGGTAGTTCTACTCGAGTATAATGAGGTTATTATCCCGTAGTCATCAGACAGACTCACATGCAGGGAGAATCTTATGAAAGAGCAGGCATGGGACTGAGCAGGTACGGCTTAAACATATGGTGTTTGCAGTTATAGCTACCAGTAAGGGAACACATATGTCTTTTGTAATATTTCAGGGAATTTGTGGGATGATGTAAGGATCACACACACATTTCCTGTCAGGATTTGTAAGGTTTATTCTAGGTTGTTTACACTACATTTGACTGATTTTAAGCAACAAGCTACTGAGATTACATCCATCCATCCCACTTATTCCTGAATAGGGACTGGAGCCAATCCCAGCTGACGCTGGGCAAGAGGCGGGGTACACCCTGGACAGGTCACAAACATGTAGATAAACAACAACACATACTCACTCTTGGGGGCAATTTAGAATCACAAACCAACCTAAGCTGCATGTCTTTGGACTGTGGGAGGAAGCCGGAGTACCCGGAGAGAACCCACGCAAGCACGGGGAGAACATGCAAACTCCACTTTAATTGTGATGATTATAACTGACAACTAATGAAAACCCCAAATTCGGTATCTCAGAAAATTAGAATATTACTGAATACCAATACAAAGAAAGGATTTTTAGAAATCTTGGCCAACTGAAAAGTATGAACATGAAAAGTATGAGCATGTACAGCACTCAATACTTAGTTGGGGCTCCTTTTGCCTGAATTACTGCAGCAATGCGGCGTGGCATGGAGTCGATCAGTCTGTGGCACTGCTCAGGTGTTACGAGAGCCCAGGTTGCTCTGATAGTGGCCTTCAGCTCTTCTGCATTGTTGGGTCTGGCATATCGCATCTTCCTCTTCACAATACCCCATAGATTTTCTATGGGGTTAAGGTCAGGCGAGTTTGCTGGCCACTTAAGAACAGGGATACCATGGTCCTTAAACCAGGTACTGGTAGGTTTGGCACTGTGTGCAGGTGCCAAGTCCTGTTGGAAAATGAAATCTGCATCTCCATAAAGTTGGTCAGCAGCAGGAAGCATGAAGTGCTCTAAAACTTCCTGGTATACGGCTGCATTGACCTTGGACCTCAGAAAACACAGTGGCCCAACACCAGCAGATGACATGGCACCCCAAACCATCACTGACTGTGGAAACTTTACACTGGACCTCAAGCAACGTGGATTCTGTGCCTCTCCTCTCTTCCTCCAGACTCTGGGACCCTGATTTCCAAAGGTAATGCAAAATTTACTTTCATCAGAGAACATGACTTTGGACCACTCAGCAGCAGTCCAGTCCTTTTTGTCTTTAGCCCAGGTGAGACGCTTCTGACGCTGTCTGTTGTTCAAGAGTGGCTTGACACAAGGAATGCGACAGCTGAAACCCATGTCTTTCATAAGTCTGTGCGTAGTGGATCTTGAAGCACTGACTCCAGCTGCAGTCCACTCTTTGTGAATCTCCCCCACATTTTTGAATCGGTTTTGTTTCACAATCCTCTCCAGGGTGCGGTTATCCCTTTTGCTTGTACACTTTTTTCTACCACATCTTTTCCTTCCCTTCGCCTCTCTATTAATGTGCTTGGACACAGAGCTCTGTGAACAGCCAGCCTCTTCTGCAATGACCTTTTGTGTCTTGCCCTCCTTGTGCAAGGTGTCAATGGTCGTCTTTTGGACAACTGTCAGGTCAGCAGTCTTCCCCATGATTGTGTAGCCTACAGAACTAGACTGAGACACCATTTAAAGGCCTTTGCAGGTGTTTTGAGTCAAATAGCTGATTAGAGTGTGGCACCAGGTGTCTTCAATATTGAACCTTTTCACAATATTCTAATTTTCTGAGATACCGAATTTGGGGTTTTCATTGGTTGTCAGTTATAATCATCAAAATTAAAAGAAATAAACATTTGAAATATATCAGTCTGTGTGTAATGAATGGATATAATATACAAGTTTCACTTTTTGAATGGAATTAATGAAATAAATCAACTTTTTGATGATATTCTAATTTTATGACCAGCACCTGTATATATATATATTTTTTTTTTTTTTAAAAATACTTTAATTTAGTGGTTCATTGAAAGTTTATTTAGGTGGGTGGGGTTTTAATGGGGGAATTTGGTTTTGGAACCTATGCATTTCTAAAATCTCCTGTAGCCACAATTACAGTCAGCTGCTGTTCTCCCTAGCCTTGTGTTGAGGGTAAATCTGATTTTGTGTTGGTATTATTTTAACACAGGTGAGACCCTTCTCATCCCTGATACAGTCATGGGACTCACTTTGCTTGCAGCTGGAACCAGTATTCCCGACACCATAGCCAGTGTGATGGTGGCCAGAGAAGGTAGCACATTACATTTTAAGCAACACCAGTGATTCATTTCCTAAATAATGCCCAAACACTTGTGGGCACTGAGCTCTCTGAGAGCTTTAAGTGGTAACTATTGATCGCTTCACCTTACCAATTTATTTTTCCCCATCATCTATTTTAGAAATTACTAGTATTACACAAATCCTGAAATTATGTTAATTTTTAACAGGGAAAGCTGACATGGCCATGTCCAACATTGTGGGCTCCAATGTATTTGACATGCTCTGTCTGGGCCTGCCTTGGTTTATCAAGACTGCCTTTGTGGATACCAACAACCCCATAGAGGTTAACAGCACAGGACTGGTCTTCACTTCCTCCACACTCCTCTTTTCCATCATCTTCCTTTTTGTAGCCGTTCACATTAATGGATGGAAACTGGATTGGAAGTTGGGAGTGGTTTCTCTCATGTGCTACATCCTCTTTGCCACTTTGTCTATCCTCTATGAGCTGGGGATTATTGGGAATAATCCCATAAGACTGTGTAGTGACTAAACTCTGACATTCCCAGGACTGAAGCCATATTTTGTAACACCAGCTCAAAAACACAACAAAAAATACCAACACAAGGAGGCATGGTCCCATTTACAAACTTTAGTGCATGTGGAGGACAGGCTGGCCCAACATAATTTGCCAGATCCAGATCAGTGTTATCATACAACGAAGACATTTTATTAAATTCTGAAGTGCTGTCACAACAGTACCTACCAAATAAATCCAGAACTGAACTCGTTTAGCTTTGTCCTTAATTAAATGGCTTTCCACGGTGTGGATGGAGGCCACACAGGATTTGGGGGGGGGGGTCCATTATATTCTCACTTTTTCCAGTTGCTACTTTTGAGAATAATTTGGAATTTTCCAGCCTGAGGCGACGCTGAGCAACAGTGCTTAATTAGCACCTCTTCAGTTTCCACACTGAACAATAACTTTGACTCTTACATTTCAGGAGATTTTACAACAACCAAGTTTAAAAATTAAAAAGTTTATTTGTTCAAATAAACTGCCTGACAAATTAAAATGTTTTACCTGACAAATTAAAAGGGTTTACAAAACAAACATACTATGTAATATGTAGTGTGTATATATATATATATATAAACAAAAAACTATGAAACATTGGACACATGGAGATATGACTGTTTTTAAAACAAAACAAAACAGCATTGGCAAGAGGGCTGAATGTGGAAGTGTGTTAGCATGACTTTTACAAAAGCTCTAGGCATTGCGATCTATACGAACATCCACCTCTCGGCCGTTGATCTTGGTTCCATTCATCATCCTACAGGCCTTCTCAGCACTCTCTGGAGAGTCAAATCTCACTGTTCCACACCCCTTTGACTTCCCATTCTCCATCTTGATCTCTGCAAACATTACCTGGCCTGCAGGACACAAGAATGAGTGATGAATGGATTCTGAAACCACAATGTGTCACACAGTGTAGAACAAATTAAAGCCTGTGTTTCTGGCATTTGACTGGCTTTCTGTTTGAGTGACATGTTGAATGTAAAGTTTTTGCATCAATGTAAAGGTAATGCATCAACAGTAAACACTGGATCAACACTGGACACATACCACAGTGACTGAACTTCTCTTTCAGCTTTTGCCATGTAAGATCATAGGACAGCTGTAACAGTACAAATAGTTATAATTCAGTTCACACATGTCAGAATTCACATGATGAGACTAGGCATTCAAATATGACATGCAAAATAAAGATGAGTGCACCAATAGTAATGTACAAATGTGCCATAATTCAAGAGGAAAATATGCTCTGCTCTGAAGCACAGTACCAGCTGATTCATCTAAACAATCCCATGAACTACTCATTTACAGTATAATTAACTATCATTAACACACATCAAACAGGGCATCAAGGCACAGAGAAAATGAATATATTAATAATAAGTCATTAAATTAGAGATGGTTCTAGTTAAGATTTCTCACTCTGCACGCACTCACGTTTCGTACAAAGATCTGACAGCCTGCTTTGGACCCAGAACCTCTGTCAGACATGCCTCCACCCACGTGGCCCTGTCCACCACCACCATAGCCAAAGCCACGATTCATGTCCATTCCTGACATGCCTAAACGATCAAAGTTGGAGCCCATCCGGTCCATTGACATATTGCTCATTCCACCACCTGCAGAGATACACACACACATAAAATCATGCAGCAACCAAAAGTGACGTGTTGTATACTTTAAAGGAGTAGTAAACGCAGGTTCCAGCACTGTTTAAAAAGATTCACCTCAGATTCATATGAATGTGAATTTAAAACAGTGCTATTCACAAAACACAATACCTTTCATCATCTTGCACAAAGCTTTACACTAAAGTGTGTATACACACTGTAAAACTGTAGGTGCATTTCATAATTTCAAAACATGAGCTGTCACTATGACACAGCAGGTGCAGACTTTGTACCCATTTCTACTTGTAGACCTGAAACTTGCTTTGTTCAAGTATGAAAACGCATCAAGCTTTGCAAGGTGGATTTCACGTGCTGCTGCAACAAGAGAAGGCTGCTTGGGTTAACTTCAGCTCCAAACAACCATGTCTGACCTGTTCAGTGAAGCTCTAGCTGAGCACGTCCATATGTACAGACATACAGTCTTTATTACACTTCATACTCCAGACAGGAATACAGATGAAAATGCTTGGTACGCTGCTATCACAGGCGCAGAGGCATAATATAAAGGTTCTGCTAGAGAGCAAGCTTAAAAGGACCTCCAAAGCTAATGTGTTATCTATAGGGGAAGAACTGATACATATAACAGCGGATGGAATATCTCATGTACCTAATCCAGTACCCATGTGCCCCATGCCACCACTGCCCATGCCTCCTCCAAAACCTCCACCTAAAGAGAGTGAGAGTTGGTGCAGATTAGACCCTAACACCACAACAATAAACACAGAAACAGTCAGCCTATAAAAGAGGAACAGCATCATAACGCCAGGCTGCATAAAAGAAATGTGTATAACCTCTACTGTGTGGTGTTAGTGTGAAAGGAATGCAGGGTAAGGGTATCACTTACCCATTCCTCCAAAAGAATCCCCAAATCCTCGATTCATTGACATGTCACTGTGACCAAAGTCCCGATCCATTCCACCCATTCCTGACCGGTACATATCTCAACACACACACACACACAAAGATGGAACCACAGACTTACATCGCCAGTAACATAAATGGTGCATCTCACATGCAAAACAATTAACCTAATCTTGGCTGAGCAAGGGTGAATATTTTCACTTACCTCCCATTCTGCCAACTGGACCCATGTCTCTCCCTCCAAAGCCACCCATGTTGCCCAAACTATCCATACCCCCGAAGCCGCCGCCTCCGCCACCACCACCACCACCACCACCACTCACCCCTGTTGAAAAGTAGCATCAGGTTTGAACAGCGTGATTTAGACAATGGTCTTTTACAGGAAAAAGCCAAAAGTAGGAGAGACCTTACCTCCTCCTCCAAGTCTGTTCACTCCACCATAACCTGGAACATCCATACCTATGGCAGGAGGAAATGCCAGTCAGGCCATCCAATGAGTGTATATTCACACACAAACACACACACACACACATACACAGAAAGGCACTGTGTGTAGCCTGATTAACACTACACTGATGCTGCTGTCATTCACATCTTAACATTTAAAAGTACTGTATTTCAACTGGTAGGAGCTCTGCAAATTCAGAATCTGAATCAGAATCAGCTTTATTGTCCAGGCGTGTCGGACACACGAGAAATTTGACTCTGGTATATCGGCTCTCAATATGTATGTACATATCCCCATGCAAGGGACAAGTAAACAGTAAAGCAGCATAAGGCTGTGTAATATAACAAAATAAGCAGTATTAACAAGCAACAAACAGTGCAAACAATGCAAAATTTGTGTATTTCCGGTTCAAAACCCATACTCCTGTAACGTCAAAAGATGAAGAACAAATGTCAACCAAAAGCTGATGGTTGAGTGGTTTACAAATGATCCGTGCACCTTGGTTTACTGACATTTGTAACAGCAGAACAATGTTTTAAATTGTTGATTAATGCTGCCGTATAGTGCTAATGTGTTGTCCAGTGAAGATAAATCTGATACTCTATAAAGCATTTGCCAACAGAAACCCGTTTGCAACACAGTATGTGATGTGCAGACATGGCTCAGCATTGGTACCCTGTACAGATGTGGACAAAATTGTTGGTACCCTTCTGTTAAACAAAGAGAAACTCACAATGGTCACTGAAATAACGTGAAACTGACAAAAGTAATAATAAATAAAAATTTACTGAAAATTAACTAATTAAAATCGGTCATTGCTTTTGAATTGTGGTTCATCAGAAGCATTTATTAAAAAAAAAAAAAAAAAAAAAAAAAAAAAATACCCACC